GTAGTTGTTCTGTTTTTAGCATACCTTTTTCATGACTAACAATGTTTTTAGATTTTAGCCAGTCTTTAATTACTTGTTTCATCGATGATGCGTTAGGATTTTATCTTCTTTACGAAAGTGATATGGTGCATTGTCCATCACAATAACAAAGTTCAGCTCTAGAAAGGGTAGAATTTTCTCGAACCATTCTTCAAAACACGCTGCATACATATCCTTATGGTAATCCTTGTATTTGGTCGATTAAAAAAGTAGAAGTCCTTCTTTTAAAAAGCCTGCATCGCTACCAATGTGCGTAATAATAAATCTCTCACCTTTGCTAGAAGGTGATTTTAATCCTGTAGACAGACCAGATAATAATGCTTGTTTTGTCGAGATAATGGACGTATTATTCCACACTTTGTCTTGACTATCTCTAGCATTCAACCATGTCTCATCCATATAATAAATTTTTCTTCTTTATGATCTCTTTCTGTGAATTGTTCTTAAATATCTTCTCCTCCACAAAATTATTTCATCTTTTTCAGTGAGTGAGCTGTTCCGTCCTCGGTTTTGATGTTTGAAGCCTAATTTTTTTAATGGGGAATAAAATGTCGTTCTTTTAAAGTTTGGTAAATCAGAATCATCGTTCAGAGCTTTAAGAACTTTGCTTATTGTCGGAATTTCGTTACCGTGGAAAAAATCATGAACTCTTTTTCGAAATTGTCAATGTCATCCAAAAAGGTTTTACAAGATTTAGTCCTCTTCGGTGAATGTAATATACCATCCCTTTTATATTCTTTAATAATTCTGTAAACAGAAGCTGTGCTAACTCCCGATGCAGAAGCCGCATGGTCAGCCACATCAATGATTGAAACATCTGGTTTTGAATGCACCTCTGCTTTATAAATGTTCAATATTATTTCCCTCTCAGCTTTACTTATGTAAGATTTCTTCTGCCGTTTTTTAAGAGGACTTAAATTCATCACTTTATTTCCATATTGCTCATGAAACACCTGCAAAAAGACACTACGGCGAAACAAACAACCCTCTAAGAAATAAGAGTTTTTGCTTGACTGATAGGCGCTATTTCTCATTATTCTGGCGCCAAGCAGACAACGGTATTGCTCCAAATAGAACGTCGCTTTGTTTACTTTCACTATCAGTTCTCGTTGAACAGAATTTTTTTTTTGTAAGTCACAATTTGATGTGAAAAGATAACATTCGTATAAAATGTAATACTTATTACTATAGTGTCATAAGACCTTGAATACTATTTAAAAAAACTGAGAAAATTGCCACAATTTTCATTTGAGTACTTTAATTTGAATAATATGAATTCTCGTAGAACAAATTATAACAGATGATTTCTTTTTCACGCACTCTCTATTACTTTCAGTAAAAGTACGTTTCTTGTGTTTAATTTTCAGTAACGAATTTCTAAAGGGTTGTCTTATATCAAGAAAATTGAATTTTAGTCAATGAAAATCCGATGATAAGTTTAAAAGTAACTCAGCAGGTTTTAGCTTTATTTTTGTCACTATACTTGATTTGATAAACTGAATCTCTAATTTTCGTCCAAAATGAATAATTTCAAAAAACTGAAGCGAAAAAGTAAACTTGAAAATTTCATTAGCTTCAATAAATTATTAAGGTTAAAAAAAATCCTCATTTTTCAAGCCCTCAAAAATCGAACATTTTCAAAACTCTCCAGATGTGAATGAAGAATCCAAAACAGATTTAAAGAGAAAGAAAGAAAACGCACAGTTGCTAATCGAAGAACAAAACAAGAAAGAACCGTGACTGGCTTATCTGCCTCGTTTGACTGCCGTCGTATCCCTAACCTAGGGTAAACTAACCAGTGAAGGAACACTTAAGCTTAGCTTGCTTTTAAAAAAATCATAAAAATTTCAAAATTTGTGATTTTCGCTAAATGGCAGAGCCGACATATTTGTTATTAACTGCCGAATTATGTAAAAAAAAAATTAGAGAACTTACATAATATTGTTTTAAGCTTTTGGTGGTTCATATAATAAGTAGTAAGATGATCAACTGAAGGAACAGTTCTTACCAGTGAATAAACACTAAATTTTCCAGTGAATGAACACTTAATCTAGAGTCTAAATCATGAATGTTTATTCATTGTGTAATCCAATGATATTTTATTACTGTTATTTTATCGCGTTTTTTAAAAAAAATCTTTTCCCCCATATTTTTTGAAACTTTTTTTCAAACTTTTCAAGTATTTTTTTCTTCTCTTCATCCTATTTTCTTGTTTTAATTTTTTTCCAGCTCTTTCAGTCTCTTTAAATTTTTGTCCTTTTTCTGAAGTTAATGCAAAAGGTAATTTATTTCTCTTTATTTTGATTTGATCTTCCTCTTTTATTCTTATATTTGGCCAATGTAAATGTATTTTTGAATTTTCTTGATTTTTTAGTACTATTTCTCGAATTTCTCACTGGATAATTGATGGGAAAAGGTGTTTTGAATTTTGAGGGAAATCCATCTGTCATTCACTTATATCTAGTGGGTCTTCAGCACTACTTACCATTTTCCGACTTTGATTACTAATGGAATGAATTGTTTTTGCATCTAACGATGCCTCAACAGGACTTATGTTAAAATCAGTTTTTAAGATACATTCATTATCAATGTTAGTTGTTTCAGCTTCGGTGTCAAAGTCTGACTTAACCAAATGTTCTTTTTGCATTAAATTCTTCCACATTTAGAAAAGCAAAGGCTATTGGATATTAAGGAGATTAGACTCTTCGGTCAATGTTCCTTTAAAAATTTGCAACATATCTTGTGATATTTCATTCTCAAGCTTCCGAAGAAATAATGAATCGTTACTCGAAGTTCTCGTTTATCGAAATTTCTTACTCATTAGATCATTGTGTCTCTCTTGCATGCATTGTTAAAGTCAACGTTTTCAACATCAAATGGAAAAATACCACATTTTATAAAAACATTTCAACTTCATCAGTTGATGCCTAAAAAGCGTCTTGAAAATGGGTGCAAAATTGCCTCTACATATTGTTTTACGACTCCTTTTTTTCAAGATCAAGCGGAAGTTTCATTTAAGTTTTCAAAGCTCGAAATACGTCTACATCACAAGACGGGAACACACTAGTAGAATTAGGTTGAAAGCTAAACCAGAGAATTTGTTTTGATAAATAAAACTTGCTCAGTTTCAAATTGATGTGAGATTGATACCCATCCAGAAGAAGCAAAATAGGGAATTTGATGGCATTTTCAATTTGCCAATGGGTAGAAAGAAGCATTTGCAATATATTCGTAAAATGTTGTCATCGTTTCACCTCATTAATCCCTTTTTCCAATGAAATATATAGCTGGAACTGATTCTGTAGTACCTCGTGGAATTCTTCAGTAAGAAAAAACTACCAATTGAGGTAATTTTTCCACTAGCTGAAATGTTGGCCAGGACTGTTGTTCTTTCTTTTCATTCCTAGGAACTATAGAATATAAATCCTTATAACTTTGGGGGCAAAAGATTTTTCCCGTTTAAGGGCAGTACTAATTTCCTGTTTCGTTCGCATTGTAGATGCGATCACATTCTGAAAGGATGACAAGGCTACTTCCCTCCTTAAGATTCCTCTTAGGTTAAGCCACTCTCCAATATTATTCTCAGTTTAAGAAAGGAGTTTTAAATTTAGAAATTATCTTTGCATTGCCCTGAGTTATCAGTGGATGTTGACTTAAAAAAAGCTTCACCCATGTTTCACCTGGATGGCTGTCTTCAAATGAATGTTTCCTACCCGTTCCCGTCATGACGTTAAAGACTGCATTAGGATAATAATTTAGCTAATTATTAGTACAATGGCCAGCAAAGAAATGTTTTATTTAGGCTTTGATTATTATATTTTAGTTTTCGATTGGTAGACATAGTTTATTAAGGTGTCTAAGGTATGATGGAACTAACCACTCCATTTATAAAGATAAATTATAAATAAATTATGATTATAATTCTTTCCATAAATTTAGCAATTAAATTAACATTTTGAAATGAAATTATTTTAGGAATTATTCATGCAACATTTAACAGAATTTTAGGTGTCTTCTATATCGCAGAACTACTAATTAGCTTAGAGCCATGTAAAATCATATTTCACACCTACTGTTCATTCATTGGGAAATCTATTCCCACTGAAGGAACAGGCATGTTCCTTCACTGGTTAAAAGTTGTTTTCTGTATTTTTAACATAATTTTGGTGTGTAATATGACTAAAGGTACAAGAAAATTAAATTTTTTCTTTAATTTTCTTTAACTTGGAAAAATCCTAGTAAAGGAACACTTGTTCATTCATTGGTTTTTCATCGTTTGGTAATCCAGTGAATAAACACCCCCTAATCCCAGTACTTGCTTAGTGCTATGATGCTTAAAATAAATAAAACGTAACTTTAATAACCCTATTTCGAATTCTTTTTTTCACAGTGAGAAAAATAGAACTATTATATGCAATTAATTTCACTTTAAACGAATAACTACAAACAATGACCTTATAATTTTGTCATAGAAACAATGTGCTGAACAGATACTAAAAAATTCAAAATTTTTCAGTGAGAAAACTATATAATCAGGCAACCCAATGCATTGTTAGATGACTTCCTATTGTTAGGTAGTAAGCTACTGTTACCAATCAATCTAAGTAAAAAGGTTTAAAATCTTAATTTTAAGAAATATTTATCAAGTGTTCATTCACTGGGTTGTGTTCCTTCATTGGTTGGTTTACCCTACAGCGATTTTTTGTTTTCATTATTCATTCATTGCTTCAGCTTTAATTTATTTGTCGTTTTTTTTTCAATTAACAACGCTTCCTTTCATTTTTGAAATCTTTTTCTTCCAAGTTTATTTACGTCTAGTGAGTTTTGAGAGCGGGTGCCTGCTCTTAAGCGCTCCAAACATATAATTTTCTTTTTAACTTACTAAATTTTAAGGCGAAGGGAGTTGTTCTAATTGAATTTTTGTTTATTTCATTACATTAATTCGGTTCATTTGTTTTCAGATTGGAACACATGTTTACCCTCGCCTCTACATGATGTGCTGGTCTAGAGATTCCTATGATATTGATTATCACATAAAGGTAATTGGGTTAACATTCAAATATTTTTTATAAATTATCGAAAGACAGAAAATGAGTGAGAAACGTATTTTCTTCCGGTTCAAAGAATTCTTTTTTGAACTACTGTCGAGACCCGGTTTAGCGAACCCCTATTTACCGAACTTCACGATTTAACGAATTTTATGAAGTGATTGAAGTTAAATGTATAGGAAACAATGAATAGCGTCTCTTAACACAGTGGGTCGATGATTATGAATCTTCAGTGAAAACTGTTGCTTTTTCTGATGCTTTTGCATGGTTTGGAAACAGAGAAAACTTACCTAATGCATCAAGAGTATTTTCTTCTCTTCATGATGCCGAAAAAGAACTTTTTAAAGTAAGAAATCAAGCAAATAAGCAAACCTTATTCTCGAAATACTTTAAAAATTCAAATGAATCAGGGTGTAATCATTCGTTGTACTTTAAGTTCCTGAATAAAAAGTGTAAGATTTGCTTATTAGAGATCGAATATTTCATAAGATGAGTCAAATTTTATTTTTAATTTTGCCGTCCGATATTACGAATTATCCCTGATTTAGCGAATAGTATTTTCGGTCCTTATGAATTCGTTAAATCAGGGTCCGACTCTATTTCAAAGATAAGACATTTTTGATAGCTACCCTTTCTGTATTGTCAACTGAAGAAAGTTCTTTTAAAAAATAATAATTATTTTTTGGGTCCGTTTTGTCACGTCAAGTATAACCTTCTGAGGTAACAGTATCGATATTTATTTTGATAACCCATTCGAAACAAGTTTCTATATATCTGGCAAGATGAACAAAGTGCCCATTCACTGCGTAATTAGGGTAGAATCTTGTTTACTATGAATCGATCCAATAATATACGGAGCCGAATAATATTGTTTTGAGACGTTCTTTCGATCAGATAACGGTGTTCTGACGAATAATACAAAATCAACGAGAAAGTTTAATATATGAATTAGTAAAAGTACAACACTACATTAATAAGTATAAATAAGTATTAATATTAAAATAAGGAAAATAATGAAGAAATATATAAGAGTAAAAATTATTTTATGGGATTATTTGTAGTAAAAGGTGTAAGTCAGCGAATCACCCGTGCATTGAAAGAGGAGGAGATTCAAGACTGCTTCTTCAACGAAATTCAGCAACATTTAATCAAGAAAATTGCAAAATTTCGATAGAAGAGTGAGCAACAAAGCCGCGGAGCTCTTTTGCTAGATTCCATACATACACCTATTCCATGTTTGCTCATTTTTCAGTAAAAAAAGAAATAATCTGTAATTGATAAAAAAAATGTTTTCTATTTATTTCAAATCGTGAGTAAATTTTGAGATACCCTTTGTAAGCTAAGTGAAATGATAGGTATATTTACTGTTGTGTTTGGTTAAATTCTTTTTAAAAATATTTCTTACTAATATTAACGTAATATCTGAATTTAATTAAATAATGCATATTTAAAAAGTTCTATTTTATTTTCAGTACATATTCAAGTATGGTTGGTGGTTCTATCTTAGTAAATATGTTGATTTTCTTGATACAGTGAGTATATTTAAATCATATTTCTATTCTTTTACCTGAACATATGACGCACTGGGGTGTAATACCTATCCAAATAGGGTGTTAAAAAACTCTAAAACACGTGTGTTATTTTAAAATAATAACGAATTGTATTTTCATACATACTTAATAAGGTGTAGTTAAATCTTAACTCCAATATATGAGAAACTTTACTCGAAATTCGGATAAATTTTCTCCATTCTTGAATTTTTTCCACCAGTTTTGGCGTATGTTTGTGAACCCTTCAGATGATCGATATTTCTGGTTTACAATCGAGTAGAGAAGATTTCAGTTTGATTTTGCCTCGTATGATGCTTTTATTTCACAGGAACAAGTAAGTAAACTGTTATAAAAAATAAATGCATTTCTTTCATTATATATGAAAGACAATTATGCTCACATAAAAAGGTTTACGAAAAACTGACTGTTAACTGTATTCAATAATTTTATAATATTTAATTTTTGTCCCCTACGGCTTACATTATTCGAATTCATATTAATATTTTCTCTGTGCTGTGTGTATCTTTGATTAGCAAACTAATTTTATTTTAACAAAAATTATATATTTGCATCCAGAATTAATGATTCTTGTCTTATATCGTATCGTAAACATAAATATTATTTCTATCATATCTTATTGTAGTTATACATTTTGGTGATAATGTGTAACAAAAACGGTTACTTTTCACCAAGTAGAACATTCTTAGAGTTTCACTACTCCTATCCTTCTTTCTTAGAGTAGTGAAAAGCCACTAAGTAGTGACCATCCGTTTTGCCTTTGAAATACACTCTTTTTTACATTGTCCCATTTTAAAGGGCTTTTATTGTTTTGAAGAATCTGCAACTTTAGAATATGTATTTGTGTGATATTATTCGCCTCTATTCTTCAAAAATTTAGCATAAATGTGTTTAATTCCGTACACTGATTCAAGTATAAAATTCTGATAGTACTGAAAAATTACAAAAACAAATTTTATGAATAGAGCAACATTTTGAGGTTTGGATAAAAAAAAACCTAACTTTAATAAAAACAAATGTACTCACAAAGGAGTCGTTAAAAATATTGCTTATGCACCTAAAAGGATGGGAGATCTGCATAATATTAAATCAAATCAAAAAAATATTATAATAGTTTTTTTAGTCTTTGGTTCTGAGACTTTTTTAGAGATTTGTATGATGGACGTTTCGAAATATATTCTGCTGAGTTGAGTAATAATAAACAAAATAAATAAATGAATAAATTAAAGAAAAGAAAACAAAGAGCACCGAAAAAGACGGACTAAAAATAACTATTGAAAAAGAGCACCACATGAACAATTGAATGAACTAAACGACCGTTTCGATTTGGTCGCTGGTGCTCGAATTTAATGAAATGAAATATTAATTTGTAATTCGTAAATAGTATTTTTCGTTAAAAATAACTAATTTACAAGGGTTTTTCAAAGTTCATGGGAAAAAAACTTTTCACGCTTCAATACACTTTAACTACATGATTAGAACATTTAAATACTTAAGCACACGTAAACATCACATCTATCTATCTATCTAAATATATAGTTCTCTTACACGGCACCAAAAAAAAGCCTCATTACAACTCCCCGAATGGCAACGTTAGAAAATCGACCAATGATATCTGCTAAAAATGTCACATGGCCAATGTCACATGAGGTGGCTAAGCATGTAGCGCTTTTAAAAACGGAAACAATAACCAGAGTGAGCATTATCAGGTTGTTCAATTCAGATTCATGCCCTAAAAACATGATAATATTTAATTTAAACTG